TCGTGCCCCTCACTCCCGACCTGCAGCCCCCTCCCTCCCCCCCCCCGTGCCCCTCACTCCCGACCTGCAGCCCCTGGCGCCCTTCGCTCCCGACCCACAGCCCCCTCCTCTCCCCGCAACCAGTGCCCCTCACTCCCGACCCGCAGCCCCCTGCCTGCCCAGCCCTGGGCTCCCCACTCCTGCTCTGCCGTGGCCTGAGGGTTGCGACTCGGTGCCCTGGAGGATGGAGGAGGGGCTGGTTTGGGGCAGGAGGACCGGGGGGGGGAATTTGAGCGGGAGGGGGGAGACCTGCGAGAGGGGGGGTTGTCTGGAATCTCACTCTCTGACTCCCCCGGCAGAGAATCGGCTGCTGCCCACGGAGCTGCGCCGGGAGGCTCTGGCGCTTCAGAAGTCCATCGAGTTTGATGACCAGGGAGCAGAAGGTGAGGTTTGGGGGCCGGGGGGGGAGGTTCAGGGAGTTCGGTGCATCCCCTCCCTCAGGCAAGGAACCCCCCCCCACTCCCCCAACACTCTTGGTCAACATTATCCTGTGTCCTTCCTGACTCTCCGCTGCCCGGCTGCCCTGAAACATGAGAGTGGGCCACCCCCATTTGGGCTCACAGGGCCCCATGGGGCCAGATGGAGCCCGCACCTCCCCCCCCTCCCCCCCGGCCCTGCAGCTGAGATGCCTCTCCCCCAGTGAGTGACAGCCCCATAGACCCGTTATCATGGCCCGCTCACTTTGGATAGGTGGAGCAGAATATGGTGTGTGTGTGTGGGCCGGGGGGGGGCTGAGCTGGTCCTGGTCACACCCAGCCGAGCCGTGAGTCCCACGTCCAGTGTGGATAAAAACAGATTGTTGTCGGTTTTTTAAAATTTATACCTGATTTCTGACGTTTTTCTTTTTAAAAATCCACCTGAAATTCTGACCCCTTCTGTTCAGGGCTGAATCTGGCACGGTCAGTTACGTTATATTTAAAAACACATATAGTTAACCAGCAAGAAAGCCCCGAACCGGGGGGTTGTTCCTGGTACCTCCTCCTCCCCCCGTTTGCTCCGCGTCCGTCTATTCACCGAGCTCAGGTCAATGATAGCTTTGCACCAGGTTAAAAAACCAATCAGGAGCTGCTTGGTTTCCTCTTCCCATCTCTGAATAAAACCTCGGTGGGAGAGGACGAGATCCACTAGCTCTAAAATCCCGAAGGACATGGAGACTAGAAACAATCAGTTCAAATTCACTAATTACCACCAACACTCCCTTTGTACAATAAATCCGGGCGTTTCAAATCCAAGCCATGTTTTAATCAATTCCCACCCACCCCCACCTCCCTGTATCCAGCCCTTCTAATAGGCTGGGCGGAATGTGATTTTTTTTGTAAGCATTTTCCCTGATTTGTAGCTCTTTCAATTAGTTGCGCAAAATAATGGTTTTTACTCCTTTTTGTCTCCCCGATTTTGGTCTCTTTAAATCTTCATTTTGGGTTTTAAGCTTTTAAAAATCCTCTCTTTAAGTTTTCACTTGTGGAAATTGCTGGGGCGTGAGGTGGGTCGGACAGGGATTATTTAACGACGGCAGAGGCTGATAATCGAAAAGTTAAAGCGTTCGAACTGTTAAAAGAGAAATTGTGAACGCCGCACGTCCAACCACCCAAAGGAAACAGCCTGAAATCCCGTTCGGATGCCTCCCTCCGCCGTGTTTTTCTTCCTTGGCTGACTTGCGTGTTTTGGATCCCGGCGGTGGGCGGTGAAATGGAGATTTACGGACACAAATCAAACCCGCCTGGGCCCGGTTTTAAAGTCGTTTTCTTTCGGGAACGAAAAACCTCCAGGGCTCTTTTGTGTGTTTTTAATCGGATTCCGATTTCCGTCCAGATGGAGTTTGACGGGGATCCCGAGCACAGCGAGGCCGGGAGAAGACTTGGTGGCTGGTCGCTTGTGATAAAATCTGTCACTTCCCCCACCGGGCTGTTGAGGGACCGGCCGCGGGGCAAGAAATTCGCCACTCCCTGGCGGGATTAAAAAATTACCCAACCCTGCCCCCCCAACTCCATGTAAATGGGCCAAATAAATGGGCATCTCCCACCGAATTCAGGGCCTGAGCGGGGGGCGTGGCCAGCCAGAGGCCACGCCTCCGGCCGTTAACCCCTTGCCTCCCGTGGCAGGGCTGGTGACACAGCAGGATGATGAGTATCGCTGGGCTGGCGTGGAGGACCCCAAGGTGATGATCACGACCTCGCGCGACCCCAGCTCCCGCCTCAAGATGTTTGCCAAGGTACAGGGCCTGGGTTTGTTATTATAGGGTCTCCCGGGGAGTGGTGCTGCTTGGCGGGCTGACATGGTTATTGTAGGGTCTCCTGGGCACTGGTTTGTTTCTGCAGGGCCTCCCGGGGACTGGGGCTGGTGAGTAGGGTCTCCTAAGGGCGGGGGGGCTACATTAGGGGCTATCGTCAGGTCTCCTGACATAGGGGGGCTGAGTGTGGCGGTGTCGGGCCGTTCGGCGGAGGGGCAGGTCTGTTATTGTAGGGTCTCTCTCACCCCCACCCCCTCTCTCTCGGCGGCAGGAGATGAAGCTGGTGGTGCCGGGCGCCCAGCGCATGAACCGGGGGCGACACGAGGTGGGGGCCCTGCTCCGGGCCTGCAAGGCCAACGGCGTCACGGACCTGCTGGTGCTGCATGAACACCGCGGGCAGCCGGGTGAGCCGGGGGGGCGTGCTGGGGGGACTCCCCTCCTCCCCCTCTTGCTGGGGTGGGGGGGGAGCTGCTTCCCCTCTGTCGGGGATTCTGAAGGGGCTCCCCCTCTGCTGTTATTTCTGGGGGGTCCCCAAGGTGGGGGGGGGGGGGCGTGCAGGGTC